GAGGAGAAGAAGAAGAAGAAGAAGAAGAAGAAGAAGAAGAAGAAGAAAGAGAAAGAAAGAAAGAAAGAAAGAAAGAAAGAAAGAAAGAAAGAAAGAAAGGAAGAAAAGAAGGTGATGTGCTGACTTTACCTGAACAGGTGATGCCTGTTAACCACACCCAACCATACTGAGGAACTGGCCTCTTACAACACTATGACCTCAATCCTCCATGACCTCTATCCCCATTTCCCCGCAAGGGACAAGCTGAAGAAAGACCACTTATTATCAGTGCCTGATGCTACACCTGTCAGTCTTCCCAGATGTGGAATGGAACATTCCAGCACTTTGTGTAGGTGGGTTTGCTTGTTTTCATGTAGTCTTACTTAGGGTTTAGGGTTTCTATTGCTGTGAAGAGATGCCATGACCACGGAAACTCTTACAAAGGAAAACAATTGGGGCTGGCTTACAGTTCAGAGGTTTTAGTCCATTATCATCAAGGCGGGGAGTACGGCAACAGGCAGGCAGACACGGTGTCGGCTACATCTTGATCAAAAGGCAGCAGGAAAATGGTCTGGGTACCACATTGAGTGAAGAGTGAAGATATATTAGACCTCAGAGCTCACCTCCACAGTGACACACTTCCTTCAACAAAGGGCATACCTACTCCAAAAAAGTCACCTCCTAATAAGGCCACTCCCTTCGGGAGCCATTTTCTTTCAAACCACCACGCGCATGTGTTCCAGAGTTCTTGCCTCTGGGCAACAGAAGCAGATGGGGAACTGACGGTGATGATTTCAGGTAGCAGAGACGTATTCTATCGCTGGATTAACCACCGCAGCTGCTCGAAGCCCTTGCCTCTGGGGACTCCAGCACCAGGATGAAGTTTAAAATCTCCCTTTACCTTTTTTTTAAAAATCACTGGATCAGAAATTCAATAGGAACATTTGATTAACGAGCTCTAGTTGTCAGGGATCCAGAGACCAAATGTGCTTCTTTATGTTTCCCGGTGGGAGGGACCATCCCAAGATTCATGATGGGGATGGGGAGTTTGCACATAACCCTGCTGCAGAGAAAAATGTCAGACATCCCCAACATCCTAGCTCCACAGAGCAGCTTCTGAGAACTTTGATGATGTATCGTTTCTTTTAAAGGGAGTGAAACCCAGTCTCTCATAAATCCAAATAGGACAGATTTCAGATTAACGTATGTTGGTTTGTGAAGAATTCATGCTTCTTCCCCGGATTCTGTGACCAGCTGCCTCAAGCTCCTGCTGCTGTGAGGAATGACCCAGGGGCTATGAGCCCAGATAAACCCTTCTTCCTTAAGTTGCTTCTGCCAATCATGTTGATGCCAGAGTGAGGAGAGTGACTAACCAGGGCATGCAATGTGCTAGAAGGGTTCAGGGAGCCCAGGGGAACACTGAGCACTTAACCATAGAGATTTTTACAAAGTTGCAAGTGAGCAGCCAGCTGGGAGAGAAACATAGCTCAAGGTAAGAGGGTAGCCCAGAGCGTCCGTCCCAGAGCGTCCGTCCGTACACTCCATGACCCTCCCTGTGCTCTGCCACCCAGTGACTCAGTGAAATCCTTTTGGGATTCTATAAAGGCTTTATTACACTGATGTGGTTGATTGCACCACTGGTTATTGGTTACCAACTCCACTTGTGGCCCTTTTTCCTTCCCTGGAGGTTGGGAACAGGGCCAGAAGTCTCAACTTTAATCATGCTTTGGTCTTCCTAGTGAACATTCTCCATCTACAAGCTACCTAGGACCCCTCCAGCCCCAGGGTACTGGTTAGCACACAAAAGGTTTTCTGATCACAGACAGCAGTGACTCTGAGGCTGGAGAAGCTTGTTAGGAAGTCCAGTTAGAACAATAGATATACGCTGCAATATCACACAGATAGACCTGCAAGAGAACATAAAAGCACAGGCACAGAGGTGCTTTATTGAGTGTTGCTCAACCAGTCAGTAAATCATTTAATGAAGGGTGTTGGTAATAACCTACCAGGACCACTGTTCGAAGTTACCGTATGTTCGTTTTAAGAGCGAAGTACAAAAATAGTGTATAGAGTGATATGTTAAGTGAGGAGACAGCATGGTGACAGAGGGGTGTGGCTCTATTTGTCTTGGAGGGTTTGTCTTCTTTTTAAAGTAGGGTCTTCATATATAGCCCAGGCCTGCCCTAAACTAGAGATGCCCCTGTGTCAGCCTCCCAAATGTGGGAGCAGGCATTCACCACCATACTTGGCTTCTGTTGGAATTTTTGAAGGGACCTCCAATAGGGAGATTGGTGACAGATGATAACTAGATGAATAATAGAATACTAAGAAAGCAACTTAGGACTTACTTTCCGTTGGCCTTTTCACTGTGAGCATGCCCTCTATTTATAATCAAAACTAATTTAAAATGCCATAAAGTAAAAAAAAATAATAAAGGAGTAAAATTGATATCTAACAAGCAAAAAACAAAGAACAAAAAAAAAAGTCTTCCTCGATAAGATTGCCTCCTTGACACTAAGAATATTCTGCTTCAAGTCCCAGAGGGAAAACTGCCTGTCTAAGGTCACTACCCTGAATGTTCCCAAGAGACTGGCCTCTAATCAGCTTTGGTGAGAATTTACTCTGATTCTTGCCCAATTATTGAAGTAACTAAGTCAGGCAGGAGCACCTTTGGGTCTCATGCAATAGCCAGGCTCAGCAGGTGGCACCTACAGGGTAGAGATGGCCGATGTCCCCTTAATGAAAGCCAATGGTCCTTACAAGCAGGAGCTAGAGTGGAACAGACTCGAGTGGGCCTGTGAAGATGATGACAGTTATGCAGCCTGCATCCTTCGAGAGAAAAGCATGAACAAATGGTGCTAATGCCCCAGATGACTGGTTCTTGCTCTGGTTTCCAGAAAGCAACCCACTAAAGGCCTCTATTGTGTAGAGGCCCAAAAATGTGAGCCTATTTCACCTTGCCTGAAGGTCAGAGAGTCTTAGTTTGTTCAAAGTTGTTGACAATAAGGGTGGCTACCCACCTTCCTCGGTGTTTTGAACATTAAAATGATCCATACAGGTAGATCCACTCCACCTTGACCTAGGTCAGAGAATTCAAGCAAACTTCTGCTCCTTCCTTTGAGTTAAGAGGTTTGACCTAGCAGGTTGGCTGTTTTCAAGGGTAGGTTCAAATGCCTCAACAATAGAATGCTTTTCTCAAGGATTAATGGCTTTATGGCTCAAAGTATTGAAGCAAGTAATTGCTCTAGTTGTCCTTTGTATCATGTTAAAGCAGTTTTTTGTCTTCTTCCCCTTATTGTATTGTGGTATAAAAGTGCAGGGAAAATAAATATTGGTGAATTCAGCATTCATTGTTCCGCTGAGTTGCGCTCCCCATATTGTCCTATGTTTTAGTGATTTTTTTTGTTTTGTTTCTTTTTTTTTGTTGTTTTTTGTTTTGAGACAGGGTTACTCTGAGGTTTCTCTCTTCCTTATCTCTGTTCCTCCTACTTAACATTTTTCTAATCCTCGTGCCCCTACCCTATAGTAAGTGGTATACTTGTCGAAGCATGGGAAGAATGGTCCCCGACACTACTGAAGCTTGGATGACAGGAGGGTGTGGGACAGGCAACCAGTTGATGGAAGTGCATCAACAAAAGAGCTCTTCCTAACTTCCTGCCCACATAGGACATTCTGCTCATACCACAGCCCATGGAAACTCAGTCTCCAGCGCCTGCAAGATAGAGCTGCGTTAGCCAAATCTGGTCTACACCGCTCTTCTTTCCCACCCTGGGGTGCTACTATGCGTCGCCCTAACCCTGGATTATCACTTCCCACTTCCCCAACTCTTTCTTTGTTCCCCCCTTTCCCCAGGCTCCAAAGAACTCACTCCAGGATTTTCAGTATGGAAAGATGAGCGGTTAAGCCCCTCCTCCCCTTTCTACAGCTCAGTATCAGCATCTGGAAAATGCCCAATGCTGTCTGAGAATCCATACTCAGCACCCCCTGGAGCAAGGGTGGCTGGAGAAGGTCCACGATGCCCCAAGGCCAAGGCAGTGTGGTGGGGGTGGGGCAAGGTGTTCAAGCCTGGGCAAGGCTTTGGCTATGGGCACTGAGCACCAAATCTTCCTGTGCTGTAGGTTCACTTCCACTAGATCCTCTATGCGCCACTCAGCTGGTTCGCGGGCAGTCTTCCAGCGTAATGCCCACCATCCTCTACCAAGGTGAGAAGGCCTGCTCTAACTCCTTCCTTGAGACCCCTCGTCCACATCTGCCAGGGACTGGAAAGAGGCTTCCTGGTGAAACTTTCTATGTCACAAAGGGTCTCTTCGCACAGTCCTGTAGAAGGTCCCTTAGTGGAGTTCCCTCAAACACCTGAAGAGCAGGTTCCTTTGGACTGTCCCCCAGCAGCACTATCCAAACCTGGTCAGGTTCAGCTTGCCCTGAAGCATCAGTGCCCCAATCTGTTGCCTAGCCTGGGAGGTTAGGTCACACAGTCGGGGGTCTCCAGGCCGGGTACGGCTGCGTCCCCACCCCCCACGCACGCACAAACGCGGAGTGGCCCGAACCCTGTGCCCCGCAGCGTTCGATCTCAGGACCGAGACAGCCTGGGCTAGGGTCCCCTTGGCTCGGTGCGTTGCGCTGTAGCAGCGCCCGCCTCCCGCTTCCCGCCTCCTGCCTCGGTGGCCGCGCAGGGTAGGTAGCTGGGGGGACCGGAAGGATGGCGAGGAAGTCGGAGAGGGTTTCCTGAGATGAGAGATTACTTCCGTCCGCGCGCTGGCCTCTCTCTGGAGCCGGCTGGCTGGGGCTCGGGGAGCGGGGTGTGCGGGGCTCGGCCGCGCCTTGCCACCTGCAGCGCCCGGGCAGGCCGCTGGGACCTGCGACAGCGGCTCACCCCGGCCATCCTTGCAGGTGGGAGTCGAGAGCATCTCCAAGCGCCCAAGCCATGGTGGCCAAACAGCGGATCCGGATGGCTAACGAGAAGCACAGC